TATACAAAGGTAATTACTTGTCCATAGTTTCAAAATAGTCATAAATTTGGAACGAAGTCTGTGACTGATCTTATAATTTTCTAAACTACTTAGGCAAGTGAAATAAAAACTTATGATCTCTTTAAAATACAATGATACAGCTAATAACCTGAACTGAAACTGCAAGACAACTTTGTCTATTAGTTTAGTTTATTAAAAATCTAAATTTTAGGCTATAAAGCAATCGTTTTTATGTTCCAGGGCAGGTTCCTTTCAGTTTCATGTCATGCAAATACTAATAATCTCCACTTGGTCTCTATCCAAGAGTCCACTGTTGTCATACTGCTGTCTCCAACATAACAGCGAAGTCAGAATGAGAACAACTGGCAGGCAGTTTCGTGTTGCCGATGGCTGAAAGCTCCGCATATGTGAAACTGGTCCCATCCTCAGCAAGACTACAGTGCTAGCTCTTGAGAAATATGTATCGCTGCTTTATGGTTAACGTGCTTGCTGAGTTGTTACTCACTGCTGAAGATCTAAGTTCCTGTCATGCTGCAGAGAATGAGTGTTGCTCAACCAGAATAAATTTAACAGATATTCCACCATCAATTAAAAATACGTCATGAAAATTCTAAAGCATGGCCACTTTTTATGATTGTTCGCCATAGAGAAGTATCCCTCACTACAGGCCATGAAAACCTCCAGCTCAACACGAACGTTAAGGAATTGAGCTTCCCGGCCTCGCTCATAGGGTCAGAGAGCACTGCTTTCTGTCCAACTTTAATGTATTTTTATGCTGTAATCAGCAGTGCATTCTACTGGTACATTAAGCATTTTGGTGCCAAATCTTTATATTTTTCCTAATTACATTATAAAATATATGACATACCTAGAATTTAAATCTCAGAAGCAAAGATACTATACCATTAAAAGCAAATAACACATAAACTGAAATACAGATACACAGTTTAGGGATAATAAAGAAACTAATAAGAAAAGCTATTAATCTTTGAAATGAAAAGGAAGGAAATCCACGTTATCGTCAAACTTTAAAACACTTTCAAAAATGATTTTTATTTATAACGTATCTACATTCAAAAAGGATTTGGGGCATATTATAAAATAAAGGGTACTCCATAACATTTTCATAAGTCACAATCTATTTTAGTGTAGAACTTTAGGATGGAAAATTAAAAGACATTAAACACCTTGTTATTGAGAATAATAAAATAAAATTTTATAGCTTAATATATTCCCCAGAATGGGCCAGCCAGATAGCTCAGTGGACTAAAGTGCCTGTTCAGACAGAGCACAGCTGCTGGGGTTCAATGCCTGGCATGCTGTGCCAGCTGGGCACCCAAGGCACACTGAGACGGCGACTGAGACTGGCGTGGTGGTGCACACCTGTAGTCCCAGCGCTTGGGAGGCTGCAAACGGGAAAATCACTGCAAGTCCAATCTACATAGTGAGACCTGTAGACCCAATAGACCCTGCACTAAATACTGTATGTATTATATTCCCCAGAAAATAAAAGTACATTGAAATATTTTTTTATTTTTTAAAGAAAATAAAAAATAGTAAAAAAGAAAAAACATTAGAAACTACACAGAATTTCACTAAACAAAGTAATAGGAATCTAAAACTGTTATATATTATTGTCTTCAAATTAGTTGTTCAGGTGATCAGATGTAAGTATACAAAATTCAGAGAGAGAGAGAGACAGAGAGAGAGAAATGTAAGCATCAACTGCTCCTTTCACCGCACCAGCAGGAATGAGCAGTACAACCCTCCCCGCTGTCCTAAGCATATACATATACATTTTTCCCTTCCTTCTTTCTTTCTTTTCTCCTTCCCCTCATCCCACTTGTTCCTCCTGTTGACTAGTTTCCTTCCCCATTGCAGTGTCTATTGTATCTTTCAGATTTTAGTTTCTTTTCAGGTTCTCACACTAGGGAGACAGTTGGATGTATAAGCATGCAGGTCTCATTTATTTCACTTATGAGTATAGTCTCTAGTTGCATTGAAACTACATTTTATTTTTTTACTTTTTACCGAATCAATTTATCTCTTTATATCCTACCTTACTGTTATAAATTACACGAAACATTAATTATCTCACCAGCACATACAATCCTCTATGCATATGAAGAAGAATGCATCACAGCGCAGGGTAAACATATTCTATAGGATTTCATCTTTTCTCAGTCCTTTTGGACACTGTGTGATAACTGAATTCCCACTGGCCATTGGAAAGTGTAGCATCTAAACAATGAGTTCTAAACATGGACGTCATGATCTGCAGGACAGCTCAGTGGCATGAGGGTCCTGCTTAGGTAAGCGAGGCAAGTGCAGGGACCGCTGCTCAAGCCCCGCTCCACATGGATGCCAATCACCCCCAGGGTGGGCTGAGCCAGCCACAGGGAAAAAAAGATTGAGTAAACATAGACAGGAAATAGAAACATTTTAAATATTTTTAATTAAAACTACTCATACACATTTAATATAGAAATACAAAAATAAGTAAATCCAATTAAAAAGTAAAATATAAAGAATAGTGTTAATAAACTCAACTGATTTTATATAAAGAAAAGTTTATCTTCAAGAAAAAGATGGCAAGCTAATGGAGGAAAGTAAAAGCAACAATTTGAAAGACAATAAAGAGAATTTATAAAACAGTAAGAAAAGCTTATAAACCAGAGCTGAGTAAAAATTCAAACTAGCAACAACAGGGGCCAGGGAGATAGCTCGGCAGTCTCAGTGCCTGCCTGGCAAGCACAAGGACCTGGGTTCGATCCCAGTACCGTATGCGGCGCCGGCCCCACTACCGGGCATGGTGGTGCACGTCTGTAATCCCAGCTGACACAGAAGGATCCCTACAAGTCTGAGCTGTTTAGTGAGACACTGTATTGAATTAAACAAACAAACAAAAAGAAAAAAAGGGCAACAATGTCCAAAGGGGTCCACAAATGGGCAAGGAAGGAAGTACATAAGAAGGATGCCCTTCAGTGCCCGAAGAGACAGGAGTATTAACTGGTTTAAAAAAAAGTTTCAAAAGGCAATCTGATAAAATTAAGCAAAATTTACAAAGTTATATTAACGTATTTCAATTCATGGGATGTTCTAACCTTTATGGCCTATTTCAATGAAAGAAAAGCTACAGAATAAACTAAGGGATATTTTTAAAACTGTATATTTTCCTGTATGTGAATTAAAAGAGAGAAAGTGCACTATAAGAAAGAAATCAAGCCTTGAATAGTTTACTTTAAAAAATCGCTAAGAGTTGGGGTACAGTGTGAAATAATTTTTTTGATATCAGGGATCAAACTCGGGATCTTGTGCTTGCCAGGCAGGGGCTGTGCCAATGAGCTACATCCTCAGCCCTAAAATAAACTTTTAAGGTTTGTTTTTCTATAATACTTCCATAAAGTTTGAAATTCCTTCAGAAAATATAGTTTTGCTTATAAGAAAAATGTTAAGTATTAATGACATAATACGTTATTCAAATATTAGGGACAGTATGAAATCCGCAACTGACACAACTATACCACTATAAGGGTGGCTGTCTACGCAGGATCTTGACATTTTAGTGACAAAATGTGAGATCATTTGCTTATAATTTTCTCATGCTGTACAATTAACCTTGAGGCCTAAAAGATGAGCTTATGAATTATAGGTAACCATGAGATGCTTGGAAGAAAGACGTGAAAGAAAAATACACACCTACACATCCTATTGAAGGAAGGCTTCAGAAACTCTCAACTATAATTTCTTAAAACTCTCAACAGCAACTTTTGTCAAAATACCAGAAGATATTTTGAAGGGTTTATGCTATCTCAAATAAAGATCCTCAAAAAGAAATCATAAAATTACTATTTCTTTCTAAAAACTATACCAACTGTATATTTTTCAATATTTTCTAAGGACTATAATAACTACTTTTCAAACTTAGTAACTGCCTTTACAAAGTTTCTCATTATGTTCTTTTTTTTTTTTTTTTTTTTTTTTTTTTAGGGAAGGATCTACAGGGTATTCCGGGTCTCACTACTAGATCGGACTCATAGTGATCTGCCCACGTACAGCCTCCCAACAGCTGGGATTACACGTGTGCGCCAGCGCGCCCTGGGGGCGGGGCCGGGGACAGCAATGGCAGGCCTGGGGATCGAACCTCCAGCCCACTTTTTGCAGGCACTTTAATACGCTGAGCTATTTGGCCAGCCCACTTTTTCAAAAATTCTTTTTTTTTTTTTCATTATGTTCTAACCTCTACCCAAAGACTGATTTTTTAAGAAAGCCTAAGCATCTAGGTTTTCTACAACATACAGAAGTTTCTCAAAGACTGTTCACCACATGTACCTTTGGGACCTTCACAATAGAAGACTTTTATAACAAATTCTGCTCGTAACTCAGAAACACTAATTAATGTGCCACATAATGCAAGGAACGGAAAGCAGTTCTGCTACCCAACCCACGGGAAAACAGACTATGGCTAGAGGCTGACTCTCACCAATGGGGATGCGAGTGAGTGCTACGCATCACGTGGCAGAAACCTGGGGTCCTGCTCAACATCCTAACAGGCACAGAGCAGCCTCCCACAACAAGGCATTGTGTGGCCCGAAAAGTCTGCAGTGCCGAGGACGAGACAGCCTGGGCAGGTAAGAGCCACACAATCCACTGTAGCTGGTGACCACTGAACGCGCGAGCTACGGCAGCTGACCTAGCGTTTCTCCTCACTTGCCCTTTTCTCCCCACTATGTCATACAGTGCTATAGGGAGAGTCAGCTAGTAATGAACAGTGTTCTGAGGAAATATCAGAAATGCCCACCGTAGCATCTTTCAAGTAGGTAGTTATACAACTATAAAAACTATATAGTATACTAACAAAGTTGCTTTTCAGACAATGTTTCTCTGTGCTGCCTACCCAGGGCTGTAATTTCTAAATCCTAAGAATAAGTGATCCTCCAGCCACCACCACACCTGGATTCAAGAAGTACTTTATATTTGAAAAATACAATGCTTCTTACCTTAAATAAACAACGGCATATATACTCATATACCATGTGTTTTAGTGAGCTGATCAGAGACTGGATTCTCTGTTCGGTACTTTCAGCATCCTACAGATTACAATTAAAAAATTTAAAACAGCATTAGGAAATGTGCAAATATTTGAATTTTCATAGCTTAATCATTCTTATCAATTATTTCTCCAGATCCAATGCTGATTCTTGAACAACTATATTTGCTCAATAAACCCAAGGAACTAAATAAGTGCACCAAACTTTCACAATAATGTAAAAAATTGTTGCATTATTAAAAATATAAAGCTTTTAATAAGTGAAAATTATAATTGATTCCCAATAATATAATAACAGTCAAACTTCAACTTATCACCTTGATTCCTACAGCATGCAGTATTAAGAACAGTATCTATTTCAATCTAGATTAAGGCTACTTAAATTACTTGTTTTGTAAGTACCAATCCAACCCCAAACTACGAACAGGGCCACCCTATATTTCCTATGCACAATCTAAGAATTCAGGCAATCTTACATCATCCCTTTGGGTTGAATAAGGATAACTGACAGTGGTGCAGTAAAAATCTGTAACTTGAGTTTTTGAGCTAAGTTGGTGCTACCATGGTACACATTTGCCATAATTTGAAAAGATACTGCTAATGGCCATTTCTTTCAATTAAGAAAAAGTGCTTGGGATAGTAACAGAAGGGCAGGCTGGGTGTGGGGTAGAGCCTGCCTAGTGTGGTGTGAGCTTTAGGTCTCATGTCAGGGACCACTGCTTCACATGTCCCGCAAGGTTCAGCACTACTAGAACAAGACCACCTCTGCTTGGTTCACTGGGGCCATAACTAACAAGAACTCCAATAAATTTTATTAGTTAAAAAACACAACCAGGGTTAGCAGTGAATTTGTGAAATTGCTCTAAAACAAGAATTTGTACCGAAATGAACCAAATCTAGGCTTCTGACTTCATTAGTAGCAGTTCTAACGGGGAGAGTTGGGCATTCGTGGTTCACCCAGCGGTTGTTCCTCCTAGTGTGAAACTGAGATTGAGAATCACTGAAATGTGCTCTATTGTACAATGGAGTGCACTGTCTATAAGATTCAACAGAGCTTTAAAACATTGGGAAGGAAGTTCTTATTCTACATATTCAAAATTATATTACTTTTATATACATTAATTAAAATGAGCACATAATCACAAACGAGCACATACACACACAAGGACGAATGTTATTCACAGGCCATATCAACTATCCCAGAACTAAGGTTACTCAGAGGAGCATTAGTTAGCAGATTTTCTACAAGATACAGTAATGCACTCATTACATTTGATCAAACTTCCACTTATCAGTTCTCATGTATAATTTTTGGCCAAAGAATAAAGAGAAATTTAAAACTATCATAATATATTTTCTGTGCAATTTATAAGAAAATTTTAATGCATAAATTATTATTATTGGCTTTATATGATACAGTGAACCAGAAATAAGATCATATATTATGAAGTAACGCTCAGACTTTACCAAATTCTGTTTTTGTAAAAATAAATCCTATATCATGAAGTCTCATAGACTTTACAAAAGTACATATTTTTGTAAAAATTTCTCATATTGTAAATAGTATGATTAAATTTAATATTTTATATTTTGAAGTATTTTAAGCTGAAGGCCAAAAGGCCAATTATTCATCTTTTACCATTTCCTACAAACTGAAACTCTAATATTTGTTCAAAGGAAATTAAAATTACATATTGAAGAAATATCTACCATGAGTAAATAGACAAATTTCCACTAATCTTCAAAGAACAAGTTGTGTATTAGTTATAATTTTATTTGAAATGTGAGTGTAGGAACATCATCGAACGATATACATTAGTAGAAGAGAAATTAGTGAAAAGAAAAATCCAAGTATATTTAATATCAAATAATGGATTTATAAAATAATTGACTGATGAAGACATTGAGCAGTATACAAAGACAAGCTTTTTTTAAACTCTGTTGGCTGCCATATGCCTTCAGGTACCTAGAACAGTATCCGGCACATAGGAAGACTGCAATCAATGTTCATGGAATGAAGAGCCTCTCCTCAGAAAAATGGATTTAAGCATTGCTACTTGAGTATTAAGTTTTGCCTCCCAATATAACTAAAGGAAAAAATGTGTTCACGTCCAGGAAAGTTTTAAAAATCGTATTAGTATTTAGCAAATGCAAAACCAAAAATAAGAACTTTGATGAAATTAGTTTAACAAAAATATTTTTGAAATAAAGTAAAAAGGCAGCCAGTGAGCAGTATTTGCAACACACAACTGAGGTTTACAGTCTTAATGTACAAGAATTTCTTAGAACTCTATTTTCAGGAAGTAGGACAACAGCCCTCAATGAGAAGGGAACTAAAGGGCCCCGAGGGGAGGGGAGAAAGGAAGAGGGACCGAAAAGGAATGCACGTGCTATGTACATGTATCAGTGGCACTCAGGAAACGTAAGCATGCACTGCAAATGTGTACTAGTAACAATTTTAAATATTAATAACAAAAGAAAAAGAATACAAAATTCACCAAAGAAAAATGCAAACATCAAATAATAGTATGTTTACTTGTATTCCATATAATATTTACAAGTGATCAAAGATTTGCAGAATCAATAAAATATTCTTTAATCACTTGAAAGAACAATTACTAAAAGCATCAATATCAATTGTTAAAAAAAATGGAAAAAGTCACTGGGCCAGTTTAATATACCAGTAGAATATATTTTTGAAGGATAACATTAGACATTTGTCAAAGGATTACAATATGTATTTTTGTTCCAGCTACTATCCAAGCATAGAAATTTAAGAAAATAAATGTAGCAATAAAACATAAGGGAAAAAAGTACATGTCTACAGCTGTTTTAAAACATAACTCCAAAATCCTTTGACATTCCTCCCGTCAGGTGGCGAAATTCATC